AGCTGGCTTGAGAGACCCCAGTTGCTTGATTGTCACAACTGCCCTGTGAAGGAGCTACTGTTATTCTCTGCCTTGTACAGATGAGGAACAGAGACGCCCACGTTGGTGGCAGAACTGAATTTTGAACCCTGGCAGCCCAGTACCACAGTGCTTGCCCTTGACTACCTACCACGCTATCCTGCCTCTTAAGTAGTTAGCCTCCCTCCTAGCACATAGGATAAATACTTTTAAAATGGCGCAATAATTATGAACATTGACTATTATTCAGTCATTAGAAATATTCTTGATAGAAACCAGTTTCACTCTTCAGTGTTGAATGTCACGTTAGCTTTTCTTCTCTTCTAAGTTTTGATTCATTGGTCTGAAGATTAGTACGCATAATGTGTTCGCTGATTTTAACTGTTTATTGCCAGCCACAGTTTTATCAAATATATCAAACAATGATTACTATTTGTTCAGTCCTATGAACCCAGCCTTCTGCTGGTGAAACTGTCAAACTAAGATACTGTTTTAATCCAAAGCATTTTTAGTTCCATTGACAAAAGCAAAGTTATTTCAGTATTAATATGTTAGACAGCATTTTATCCATCTGTAAGTGTGAATTTGACACTTTTAATCCATGCAGCTCCAAAACCCTTTGAGTGTTGGGGCTTTCTTTAATGAGAAGAACTGCTTATCTGTGAAAATCAGATTCTCTGTAAAATGGGCCCTCCCTGTCCGGGAGTTCTGCACCCATAAATTTAGCCCATCCTGGGTGGAAAGTATGGGGGGCTGGAGAAGCGTTTCCATGGTCCTAGATATGACAAGTCGTCTAGAGATGATATGAAGATTGTATGCAGATACCGTGCCATTTTACATAAGGGACGTGAGCAGCTGAGGATTTGGGTATCCAAGGGGTCCTGGAACCCATTCCCTGCAGATACTGACAGATGACTATACTGAAACTATTTTTCTTTTTCTCCTGTCTTTTCTTGACAATCTCCAAGCTGCACTCGTAAGCCATTCTGATGTAACAGTAACTTTGTTGACACTCTGTTTACTCGACCTGGGCAGCAGCCCTGGTGGGGCGGTGGGTGACACTCAGCTACCAACCGAAAGGCTAGTGGTTTCAACTCCCCAGTCTCTGCAGGAGGAGTTCTGCTGTCCCGTTGTGCCACTGAGTTGTAGTAGACTTGATGGCAACAGGCTTGGTTTGGTATTAGAGCAAAGGTTGATAATTATGTTTTCAAATGCGGGCACTGACAGTTTGCAAGAATGCTCATGATAGGAAAGCACCTTTGTTCTGACTCTCTTTCCAAGCCTCATCTCTCCCAGCATCCTGTGAATTCATCCATCAGAGTGCTGTGTTGAAACCTGGCTACCATTTCAGTGATCCCGCACCGTGCTCCAACTCCACTGAACTCCCTAAGGACAGGGACCATGTCCTTGTACTCTCGGTGAAGGTCAGAAAGCCTTTCTATTAGATGCTTAGCAGGTGGTGGATAACGAGTACGTGAGTGAGTGGATGAAAGGATGCGAGAAGGCAGCGCAAGTGAAAAAAGGACAGGCGCTTGATGAGTGGATTCTACTCTGGTTTTAATCTGTACATTTATGATGTGTGAGTGCATGTAAGTGTCGAGACAGCATGGCTTTTTAAAAGGCTACCCATCCCTGAGTAGTACCCATTATCACGAAGCTAATGTAGAGTCCTCCACCACATCAGACAGAGTAGAATGTCCCCAGAGGGTTTCCAAGGTACAGAGTGCCACCTTTCTCCGTGGGTTTAATCATCAGCCGAGAGCTAATCGTTGTGCCGCCTGACGAGTAAGGGCCCGTCTCTGCAGCCCTCTTAGTGAAGCCGGCCTGTGTGCCGTGTTCTTCTTTCCAAGCTCGTGTTCATGACAGAAGTTGGTGCCAACCTCCAGCGTCTGAAGCAGCAGGTTGTAGAGATGATTTCTACCTTAAGACTTGAGCTTGTACATCTCTGTATGAAACTGAAAGGAGGTCGCCTGGGGTTAGGTGACCTTTCACTTACAGTGAGGAGTCTGTCTTCCTAGTTGTCCTTTTCCAGATGGCTTTTCATCCCAGGGTAAAACCTTCTGATTAGACTGGATTCCCTCGGTATTGCCTTCTTTTCCAGCTTCATCTGGTGTACTGAACAGACTGGGCAGAAAGCGAGCGCGCGCGTGCACACACACAGACACGTAGATAAAGTAACTGTGACAGAACAATAGAAAGGCTTACAGGGGACCCTTAATGAAACATAGTTTTTATTTCTTTCAGGTATAACCGTTTTTAAAATAATATAATATATGCACATGCAAGGTTTTAAAAAAAAGCCACATAGTGCAAAAAAAAAACCTTTTGTTTTGTTTTGGTTTTGTATGTATACTGAAAAACATCAGTCCCTAGTAGACACTTAGCAGATAGTCGATAATGATTACGTAAGTTAATGGAAGTCTGTCCTCCAAGTCTACTTCCCAGAAATAACTGCTGCTTATTTTTAGCTTCATATTTCTAAATAATATTCTTAAACAGCCGTATCTTCATTCCTCAACTTTAAATCTTCCCTACTGACTTCCTCTTATGGCATAGAAGAACAAACTCACTCCTCCCCCACCCCTGTCGAGATTGGTACCAAGCTCTGCTTATATGATTATTGCTGTTTCAGTGCTGCGACTGCACAGCTAGAGTTCACTCTCAAGCCACGTGATTGCGTGCAACCCCTCTGTTAATAGAGCTTTGTGGTTTGTGTGTGAGGGGTTTTTTGTTCCCTGAAGTTAATACGTAATTGTAACTTTTTATTATTCAATTTATTTTCTTTATTCCTACTACTATTCTTCTCATACTATCACCAACCTCTCAATACAAACACAGATTTCTACATGATCAATAGCTACTCTATTGGTACCATTTTCTTGTTTTTCTAGAAGGTCTCCCTTCTAGACCCCTACACCCACACCCTTCCTTTTGATCCAGACTGTATTGATTGTTCTAGAAGCCAGTACTTTTAGCCAATGTGGCAAGAATTGGTAGTAGGTGAGTTGAGCAATTGATCCCCTCAGGACAGTTGGAAGAACCTGGGTCGTTCAGGGCCATAAGCAGTCTTATGATCTTGTATCTCATAGAAATATTCTCTGAAGAGGTCAGAAAGTCCTCTAAGCCTGCTGGATAGTGGT